AGCAACAGGCTGCGGCGGGAAAAAATGCCTGCAAGACTGCAGGCCCCAGGACACCCCGCCGCTACGGGCGCTGGCGTCGGGTTCGCCCCACCACCGCCCGCAGTTCACGCTGGCCCGCCAGGCCCCGTTTCACCTCGCTGCGCCCGGCCTGTCGGCCGCGATACCTCGGGGCCGCCCACCGCTGGGGCCCCCCCCCCCCCCCCCCAGCGCAGCATAGGCTAGACAGCCTCAGCTGGTCAGTGGCGCGTGGGCGACGCGCGGACTCCGTAGCCTACCCGCTACCACTTTCGGGCGCCTCGACGGGGCGCCCCCCTCGGCGCCCGACGCCTCCCCCCCCCCCCAGTTGCACACCTGACTCGCGACTGCGGGGGCCTCGGCCGCCCTGGAAGAAGCTGCTTTGAAATGGCAGACGACCCACGCCGCACCCCTGACTGCCGTTCAGGAGAGGAACCGGCGCAGCCGCCCCTCCCCCGCGACAGGAAACAGGCACGGGTAGGGTTGTCGCGCCGGCGGCGCCTGGCGGAGCCAGGCTGACCCTGGCGGCAGGGCGGCCGCGTAGCAAGAAAAGGACAGCTCCGCGACGTCGCAGTCGTGCCCCCTGGTGATGGAGAGGCGCGACAGCCTTCGGGAGCGCCCCCCCTCTCGCTGCAGCAGATGCGCCCCCCCTGGATGTTCATCATCTCTGAGCAGCCGTTAGCTGCATCCCTGGTAAGCTCGGCACGCTTGCAAGTACTGCGATGCCAACAATGCAGGCAGGCCGCCGACACCGGGAACAGCAGGTCGACAGTAGGCAGCGCATCCCTGGGGGAAGCTCTGCCCACCCCTCGCCCTTGCTGGACGGGCGCTCAAGACATTTGCCGAACCCTGAGCAGCCGTTAGCTGCATCCCTGGATGTTGGGCCCGGGTTTCGGCCCTCCCCCTGTCTCTCTCCCGACGCCGGGTGCCCCTGGTGGGCCCCTCCGCGTGGATGGCTGGTGATGTCTGCCCCCGCCGCCCCCACCAACGGAGGTCCCTTACGGGCTGGGCGGCCTGTCAGCGCTTCGTGCCCCCGCATCACAACGTGGGAGATCGCCCCCTGGCGCGGCTGCCCCCCGGTGCTTACTCTCCAGCCACGCTGGCGACGCTCATCCCCGCCAGCCTGGCTTCCTGCCACGCTCAGCGCGGCTCTCTACGACGCTATGTCATGCGTATGGCCATGGGCTGGGCCCGCAGGACTCTCCTCAGGGCCGGCTCGTTGCCCGTGCTCGGGACTGGTGGGCCCCTGGAGTTTGGCGGTCGCCTCGGAGTGGTTCAGCCTTCCGTCGCACGCAGAATTCCATCCTGGCTCCGTCCCAACCGATCAGGCAGGTCTACGCCGTCGTCACGGTTCTTGCTCAGCTTACCTGGCTGGTCTACGCCGTCGGCACAGTCTCGGCCCTTGGCGCCCCCCTGGCGACTCGACCATCGTTTACCTCGCCTTTCTCCACCACCCTGTTTGAGAGGGGCGCAAGTGCAGGTCACTCACCTGCTTCCGCACCTCCATCCGTGTGGTCTGACGCCGCAGCCCGTAACACCGAATTCCCTGGCATTTTGCTCTGGGCTGCACGATGCTCGAGTTTCCCTGGGTGCCGATCAGCCAGCCAGCCCTCGCCCTGCTGCCCGAGCGGCCGCCTTGTGAGCTGGCCCGGCCGGTCTGAGTTGCGCCTTGCACCTAATTAGGTTTCCCCGTCGGCCCGGACGACTTCTCTTTGCCGCCTGCGCTCTTCGCTCGCGGCCGCGACCAACAACAAGTAACCCCACCAGCCCATCCAGAAACGATGCCCGCACAAATTGCCTCGATCAGGGAAGTGGGCAAAACACAGGAAGGGCCCCCCAGTGGAGGCCCCTTGGAACATCTTTGGGGCCTCTTGGCGGTCCTGGGCACCTCTTAAAATGTGTTGGGTGCCTCGGAGAGCTTCTTGGGGCCTCTTGGGGGTCTCTTGAGAGCCTCTTTGAGGCGTCGTGCAGCACCACCAACAACAGCGGCAGCAACAACAACACTAATTCTAATAAGTTTCGCTCTTATTTGCTCGCATGACGTTCAACACGTCGATCCCAAGCCCTCGATACCCACCTTCTCCGTTTTCGACCGTTCCCCCTCTGGGGTATCTCTGTCTTGCTTGCGACGCGTATTTCGTGCAACCCCTGTGGCAGGGGAAGAGAGGACGGATGGAAGGAAGGGACAGGGAGGAGGAGGAAACTCGAAAGTCTAGGAGGGGTAGGAGGGGGGGATGGGCTGGGAGCAGAAAGCAAATTGCAGAACCTGACGGGCAAATCGGGCGGGTAGAGGGTCGACCCTACCGGGCGGGCCGGGAAGAAGGGCCCAGGCGGCCAGGTCGAGCAGGAGGGTTGCTGAGGCGTGCGTCTTGTACGACTTGCGAGGAAGTTGCGGGCGACAGCTCGACCATGTCAATCGTGAGTAATCCACAGCGAGAGCGTGACTCCTGAATGTCGAGGGCGCGGCGTCTGAATAAACTGCGAGGGCGTCCCACGAGCGAACGCGATTCCTGCATAGATTTGGGAGGAAATCCCGCGCGAGAGCCCGATTCGGGAATACATTGAGAGGCAGTATCAGGCGAGAACCGTTGTTGTTGTTTTTGCTTTTGAATGTTAATTACTTCGTAATGAGTATTGATGGACACCTTAAAAGCGCCCTGGCGCTCTCGCCGAGGCGCCAACTACATGTTCATTGAAAATGAGGCTCACGCTCGAGCGGTTTGCGGGGCCGCCCACGCCGGCCCCCCAACAATAACAACGCTCCCGCTCGAGACTTCCTCCTTTTTTCCTCAGGGCTGGTGTTCTTGCTCGCCGCCGAAAGCCGCCGTCCTAACAAATCCCGCGCTCTCGCTCAAACTGTCCTCCCGTTTTACCTTGGACTGGCGCGCTAGTCTTTCTCTCATCGGCGCCGGCCCCAGCAAAAACAACGCTCCCGCTCGAGGCTTTCTCCCTTTTTTAGTCAAGGCGGTGCTCCTCCTCGCCGCCGAAAACCGCCGCCCCGACAAAACCAACGCTCCCGCCCGAGATTTCCTTTCGTTTTACGCTGGGGTGGCGTCCGACTCTTTTTTGGATTGGCGCCGCTCCCAACAAGAACAACGCTCCCGCTCGAGATGTCCTCTCCTTTTCCTGAAGACAATGCTGTTCCTCGCCGCCGACAACCCCCGTCCCGACAAAACCACGGCTTCCGCTCGATGCTTCCTCCCTTCTTACTCAAGGCGGTGTTCCTCCCCGCCGCCGAAAACCGCCGCCCCGAGAAAACCAGCGTTCCCGCCCGAGATGTCCTTCCGTTTTACGCTGGACTGGCGCCCTATTCTCTTTTGAATCGGCACCGTTCCCAACAAGAACAACGCTCCCGCTCGAGATTTCTTTTTTTCCTCGGGACGGAGCTGTTCCTCGCGATGTTTCCTCCTTTTTAACTCATTGCGGTTTTTCTCTTCGCCGCCGAAAGCCGCCGTCCCAACAGAACCAGCGCTCCCGCTCGAGACTTCGCGTTGTTTCACGCTGGACTAGCGCCCTACTCTCTTCTGCATTGGCGCCGCTCCCAACAACAACAGCAGCCCTGCTCGAGACTTCCTCCCTTTCTATTCAGGGCCAGGTCCTTGCCTCTCCGCCGACAGCCCCCGTCCCCACCAAGGCAACCCTGTCGTTCGATACTTCCTTGTGCTTTACCGTTCGCTGGGGTTCCACTGGCCTTCTCGCATCGGCGCAGCAAGGCGCGGGCATGTGTTTTCGAGGCGGGATATGTTGAAATTCCTCGGAGGAATGTGTAAGACCTCATTGGGCGGGAGATCTGGGAATGGGAATAACGGACCCCGCTATAGAACAAGAGTCCCACATTACGTGGATGGTTATCATGATGGTCGCATGCTTCGTGTGGAAACATTGCGCATGAGGGTAAACTGATTGTTGTTGTTGCTGTTGCTGTTGCTCTTGTTGTTGCTGATGTTGATGTTGGTGTTGTTGTTGTTGTTGTAAGTATTAATACTAATAATTATATTATTATTATTAGTATTATTAGTATTATTATTATTATTATTATCATTATTGTTGTTGTTGTTGTTGTTGTTGTTATTGTTGTTGTTTCGGGGCCCGTTTCGGCGGCCCCCCGAACGTCTGAGCGCGAGACTCACTATCTCACGACATGCAGCTAGCGTCGAAGCGAGAGCACCAGAGCGCATGTGGGGTGTCCACAGGGATCAGGGAAGCCTGAAGGCCTCCAGGAATCTGGAATAAAAACGGGGGGCATATCGAGCGGAAGCGTCGTTGTTTGACGAGGGGGCCGCTTGCGGTGCAGAGGCGGGGGCGCTTGTCCGGAGCCAGAAACAAGGAAATATAGAACGGGAGCGCCGGTTGTGTTGGAAAGCCAGATTTCGGCGGCGAGCAAGAGCGCTGGTCCCGAGTATAAGAGGAGGAAATATCAAGGGGAAGCGTTGTTGTTGGTGGTGTTGGTGGTGTTGGCGGTGTTGGTGTTGTTGTTGTTGTTGCTGTTGCTGTTGTTGGTGTTGCTGTTGCTTTTGATGATGTTGCTGTTGTTGTTGCTGCTGCTGCTGCTGCTGTTGTTGCTGTTGCTGTTGTTTTTTGGGGGGCGCTTCGGCGGTCCCCCGAAACGCCAGAGGGTGAGCCTAATTGTCGGAAGAACTGCAGCCGGCGCCGAGGCGAGTGCGCCATCTGAAGGGTGTTCAACAATAGCTACTGTCTCGTAATTAAGATTCAGTGCGCACCTCACGGGGCAAGTCTTCGACGGTGATATGACCTCGCCCTAGGATCGACCTAATAGCCGAAAGTTCGGACCTCTAGCCCCCACAACTGCTTGCTTACACTTCAAAACCTGAACCAACAGCCGTCCGCCCTCCCGGCAGCTCAGAGGAGAGGAGACGGAAGGCAAGGGGAGAGGAGGAGGAGGAGGAGGAGGAGGAGGAGGAGGAAAAGGAGGAGGAGGAGGAGGACGAACGCCTTCTCCTCGCCTCCCCAGGAGGGGGGGGAGCCTGCTGAACTCCTCCGCGATGCGCGCAGGGGACGCCGCGCCGCTCGGAGCGCCTGGCGGCGGTGGCGGCGGTGCCGAACTGCGCCGACCCCCGCCGCCCTTCGCATGCGGGGGCCCCGCGGGGGGGGGGGGCACAAAGATGGAGATCCGTTTAGCATTTTCCGGCGAGATAGCCCAGGTTAGCCTGAGGGATGCGAAGGAGATTCTGGCCGATTACCTTCTTGCTTTGGGCAGCCCCACGTAGGCCCGCGCGTACCGGTACTGCGCACCTCTTCGGACCTGTGCAACCGACAAGGCAAGGTTAGGAAGCATCTGCTGGGAGGTCTTCGTCGGAAAAATAAAGGATGATTAAACCCCATTGCCAAAGTGGGCTTCGAATTAAGCAGGATTAAGAAGGATTAAGCGGGATTCAGCGGGATTAAGCCGGATTTCGGACCAGGGCAAAATGCGAATTTGACCTCCCAGGAGTTGCATCCGAAGTAAGGTTATCCGGATGTGTGTGGATGAAGGGCGGGCGGGCAGGGTCACCCGGGCCATCTCCGAACCCTGAAGAAGTCTCCACAGGCTGGTCCATTAGAAGATTACGAGCGGCGCGTGGTACGAGACACGTCACGCCTGGCAATATTATTCTCGTTGTTCTTGTACACTCCCAAATCATGGGCGCGTGCTCACTGGCGCCGATTCGGGAAACGTGCGCTCCCCTACACGTCTGCATCAACATGCCTGTCTTCCGTGTAAGATTTGCAAACGGATCGCATCGCACACACCAGAATCACCCCCCCCACCCTGCGAGTCAGGGCGGGATCCAGAAGATCAGATGCGCAGGCAGGCTTGCGTTGAACGCAGGCCTGCGTGCGCGCGCCCGCACGCGCCTGTGGTGCAGACATGCCTGCGGTGGCGCACGAGGGGCCTGCGGTGCGCGCAACGCATGCATTGCGAGCGTACGCATGCCGTGTGTTTACGACATGTGCAGGTCCGCGCTTACGGCTTGCAACGTGCACAAGTAAATACACGTTGCGCGTCTGCAAGCCCCCTCCCGGGCGGTCGGCGCCGGCGCCCACTCTAATCGCAACCGCGGCCCTTTTTTCACGCCTCTAGACCGACGGGAGCTCCAAACTTATGTCGTCAATCACGCGCGTCTGGTACTCTGCCGAATCATTGACATACGCTGCGGTAAGCTGCGAAAGGCGATCGTCTTCCGATCCATCGGCGCAATCAAGTCTACTCGAGGCCTGCAGAATCGAATCCACGATGTGAGCGCGCAAAAGAGGCATCAGCCTGCGGCGCTGAAATCCGTCGGCTTGGCGTACTCCGAACTATTCGGCGATCCTGCCCCTCCCCTCGATCGCGCAATGCCACTGACTGCGGTAGAAAACTTGGATGCACTGGCCTGCTGTCCGATGTCGCCACATACAAAGGCGGTACTGGTACGGCCGACCGACGTCAACATCTGTTCTGGACTCCTCCCGTGTTGCGAAGCAAGCCGTGGTGAAGAGAACCCTCTCCCGTAGCGGAGGGAAAAAGGCAACGCGCGAGCCTGGACGTCTCTGGAGATCCACACGTGGCCCCGCGGCCCCAAACTCTGAAAAACCTTGATATTTGGTTCTACTCCTCAAGATCCGATCCCCGGAGGTGGACAGAGGACATGTGGGAAAGGAAAGATTGGCGAGGCGCTTCCGCTCTGCATTTGCACGGGTTAGGCCCCCCAGATTCCCGCGACAAGTGGAAAGGCAGCATTCAAACGAGCCTCGAGCTGTTGGGTGACGACACGAGCATTACGAGATGCCTGTTTTTGCTCGCGCGAAGTGCTCCATTGTCTGCTCTAGCACCCTCCTCCCTCCTCTGTCCTCCTCTCCCTCCTCCATGTTCTTTGTCCCTCTCACTGTCCTCATCCTCTCCTCCGTCATGATGCTCGCTCGTCCCCCCTCCTCCCCCGTCACACCTCATCATGCTTGCTGCCTCCTGCTTCTTGCCCCCTCCACCTTCTCATCCTCCTCTGCGCTCCACCCTCTTCTCCTCCTCCCTGCTCACCCGCGCTCCTCTCGGGTGTTGCCAGCAAATGGTCTTGGCCCAGAAGGTGTCCCCAAAGTTCCGCGCCATCTTGGGGCCCCCTGGGGCCCTCTGGGCCAGGGCCACTTCTGGTAATACCCGATCCTCCTGGGACAGAACTCTAGGGAGGTCTTCGCAAGAACGATGAGAAGCGATTAGGCCCGACAAAGCGGCAACAAAACCGGATTCAGCCCAGATTAGACCAAACGGGATTGGAGCGGACTGGGCCGGTCTTCAACCGGTCTTCGACCACGGGTATACCAGCGCCGATGTTGAATCCAACCTCCAAGGAGTTGCATCCTAACCCTCCCGCACCAGGCCCGAGGTCCTGCGCCCGCGCGGGAGGAAGACATCACCCGGCGAGAGGACCTGGCCGCTCAGGGGCGCGCTCAATCTCTGGCCCGAGGGCCGCCAGGCTAAACATTTCTCTGCCAGAAACACGGAGCGCGGAGGTTTTCAGGCCTGGCGATCCGCTGGCTGAGGGAGGAGACGACGAGGGAGAGGCGGAGGGGGGGAGGGAGCGGGAAGAAGAGGAGGGGAGAAGTAGGGGGAGAAGACAAAGGCATGCAAGGGGAGGGGCGGGGCCAGAAGAGCACTCGCGCCGCCCAGACGGGACCAGGTGGATTCCGAGGTTCGAACAGCATGGCCGATGCGTCGGCGACGTCGTGATGGAGAAAATTGGACACCGGAACCAGCGGTGAGAAAACTACATAACATAATTTCTCAAAAGTCCCCACGGATCTCTTGGATCGGCGCTGGGCCATCCTCTCTGGCGCGCGGGGCGGCGCCAAGGGTGGCGCCGGAAGCGGCGCCAGAGGCGCCGCCAGGGCGGGGCCACTGCAGATCCAAGAAATCTGTGCGGACCGTCGAACATCAATCGTAATGAAGTGTTCTTCTTCGAGCCGCGTCGGCGACGTCGCGATAGAGAAAGTCGGGCTCCAAGTCGCGCTGCATCGTCGATGCTGGGCGACCCTATGGCCACAACTGCTCTGGTTCCACGGGCGGCCTCGGGAAACGAGAGGGAGCCCGCTGGCGGCTCCCGCGTGGATCTGGGCATTCCTGTGGACCCAGACCTCAGACGCCTCAATGTTTGAGCCCATGTTTGATTCCTAGCCATCACGGTTTTTGGAGAGAAACTGCCGCGCGTCTCTCTCCTCTCCGCTCCTCCTCCTCCTCCTCCTCCTCCTCCTCCTCCTCCTCCTCTTACATCATCCTCTTACATCATCCTCATCCTCCTCATCCTCCTCCTCCTCATCATCATCATCATCATCATCATCAGCATCAGCATCAGCATCATCATCGTCATCATCATCGTTATCATCAGCATCATCACCATCTGCAGCATCATAGTCATCATCAGCATCGTCATCATCACCATCACCATCGTCATCATCATCAACATCATCTTCATCATCAACAACAGCATCAACATCACAATCCTCACCGCCATCGTCATCATCGTCATAGTCATCGTCATCAGCATCAGTATCAGCATCAGCATCACCATCCCCATCATCATCATCACCATCATCAGCATCATAATCATTGTCATCATCATCAACTTCATCATCGCCCTCACTATCACCATCACCATCACCGTCATCACCATCACCATCATCACAAGCACCATCACCACCACCATTACCATCACCATCGCCATCCACATCGCCATCATGATCATGATTATGATCATGCTGATCGTCATCATCATCATCACCACCACCATCATCATCATCATCACAAGCACCATCACCACCACCATCACCATCATCACCATCGCCATCATGATCATGACCACGATTATGATACTGTTGGTCACCACCATCATCGTCACCACCAGCATCATCATCATGGTCATCAGCATCATCACCATCACCACCATCACCATCATCAGCATCATCATCACTGTCATCATCGTCATGTTGGTGCACCCCTCACTCGCTTCGTGGCCGTATATATGGAGCTCCACTGAAGGTCTCAGTGGCGAAGTCCACATGCGTTTCATGCGTTTCCCCCACCCAGTACAGCGTAGCGTGGCCCATAGGGAAGGCCCCAATGTCAAAGTCCACACGCATTTCCCCCAGCCAGTACAGCGTGTCGTGGTCCAAAATGAGCTCCATCGAAGGCCCCAATGACAAAGTCCACATGCGTCTCCCCCACCGAGCACAAACTTTCGCGGCCCGTAGGGAGCTCCACCGGAGGCCCCAGTGGCAGGGTCCACATGCGTCTGCCCCACCCAGCACACCTTTTCGTGGCTCGTGGGGAGCTCCACCGAAGGCCCCAGTGGCAGTCCACGTGCATCTCCCAAATCAGTACAGCGTTTCGCGGCCCATGGGGAGCTCCAAGTGGCACGATCCGTGTCACATGGTACCATGCGGGCCATTTTCGCGCGTCTGCCGCGCGCGCATTTCGAACTCCTTCCAAAACGTTGTTATCACCGATGCGAAGACGCCGTCATCGTCGCCGGCGTGATCGGCATCGGCGCCGTCACTGGCCGCCCCGTCGTTGCTGTCAACATCGTCGCGAGCATCGCTACTACCATATTCGTGTCTAGTGTTGTCGACGTTGCCATGGTACCGCGCACGCCAAAGTCGTCGAATCGCAACGAAGTGCCCGCTGGGATGTGCCGAGCGGTCAACGCCACCGCGTTCGCGTCGGCCGCGCCAAACTAGCTGGCCGCTGCGCGCGCGAGCATGCGCGGGCTCGGCCGCAGAGATGCACCAGTCAACACCAAGCACACATCAAACCAACTTGCGGGTGGGTGGGTGGGATGATTGCGCGCAGTGGACTTGACATCTTCAAGTTCGTCATGTGAACTGCACCGCGTAGATGGCACCGCGCGCGTTGCACCATAAATGTTGCACCACATCGGACTCACCAGGTCACCATGGAAATTGCACCACATACCTTACACCACATACGCATGTGTTGTAAAACCACGCGCGCTACGTGCGCGATCAGCTTCTAGCCGACTGCGCAGTCCTTGTCAGTGGGCCTTGCACTACTCCACGAGACCCCAAGATAAAAAGGAGAGGTCCCTCAGGTAAGGGCCGCTCTTGGCGCCTGGAAGTGTTGGGCCTTCTGGGGGGGAGCTTCGGGTTCGGTGGGCGGTCGCGGGGCCGTGCGGGATCGACGTGCGACGCGTCGGAAGGCTCCGAGGGTTTCCCAGACTGCACAAGTGGCGTGACTGCCACGGTGGCTTATAAGGGCCTCAGAGGCTCTGGTCTGCCAAGCCGCCGCCGCCGTCGCCGCCCCCGCGGGCGCCACCACCGCAGCTGCCTCCGCAGTGGTAGTCGTCGCGGTGGTCGCCGTAGTGGTCGTGGTGGTGGTGGTGGTGGTGGTGTTGGCCGTCTGGGGTGCGCTCATCGAATCCTCTTGGCCGTCTGGGGGCATCTTGGGACGGAAGGCTCGAATTATCGCTTCGAGGCCTAAACTTCGGCCCCTCTTGAGACCGTCTTGGAGCGTTTTGGGCGCCTCTCGTGCCGTCTTGAGCCCCCTTTTGACCGCCTTTGGGCACCCTTGGGGGCCTCTTGGTCTGTCTTGGGGCGGTCGTGGGGGCCTCTTAAGACGTCGTGAAGCGCCCGAAACCGGTAAAGTCGAGAACCCCGAAAACATTGAACAACGAATGGGGCATCAATTGCTTTTGCCTCTTGGGGCCTTCTGAGGAGCGCTCATCGAATCCTCTTAGGCCGCCTGGGCGCATCTTGGGACGGAAGGCTCGAATTGTTCTTTCGGGTTCCTGCTCCTGGGCCCCTTTTGTGGCAAATTTGGGCGCCTCTATAGCCGTCTTGGTCCCCCCTTGGGACACCGTCTTGGGACCGTCTTGGGACCCCGTTGGGCCGTCTTGGGGACCTCTTGGAGGCCTCTTGGGCCGTCTTGGGGCAATATTGGCGGCCTCTTGAGACGTCGTGGAGCGTCGGAAGCTCGAAAGTCGAGACCCCAGAAACATCGAACTACAAGACAATCAGTATGTTTTACCTCTTGGGGCCCTCTGGGGAGCGCTCGTCGAGTTCTCTTGGGCCGTCGTGAAGCTATCTGGGACTGTCTAAAAACCACGTGGGACATCTGGACGCTTTCTGGTGTTTCTCTGGCGCCACTTACGGCCGCCTGGGCGGCTCTCGGGCTGCTGAAAAGGGTCCCTGGGAAGCCTGGAGCACCCATGGCGACCAGAGGCAGCTGGGAGAAGGCCCCCGACCCTGTATCCCGACATCTCTTTTTTTTTTTTGTTTTCTCTCTCTCTCTCTGTCTCGATATATATATATATATATATGTACACATGTACACCTATGACACCGGAGAAAAACACCCAATCAGATTTTTGTTGGGCCATGGGGCTGTAGGGCTATAAAGTTATAAGGCTATGAGGCTATAGGGCTGTAGGGCTATAGGGCTATTGGGCTATAAGGCTATAGGGCTATAAGGCTGTAATGCTATAGGGCTATAGGGCTATAAGGCTATGGGGCTATCGGGCTATAAGGCTATTGGGCTATAGGGCTATAGGGCTATGGGGCTGTGAAACTAATAGGGCTATAAAACTATTGGGATATATGCTATTGGGCGGGCACCCGGGCCCGGCCACCGAAATCGGCCACGCACCTCACCGGCCACCCGGGCAACCCGGCACCGCCGGGCACCCGGGCACCTGGGCCCGGCCACAGAAATCAGAGACCAACCTCACCTAAACCTTTAATCCGCTAGGACCCCTACAGAGGCAAGCTCTGATTGGGGAACATACACACAAATATACACATACATGCATGCATGCATCTATATACATATGGCGGGTCCCTCATCGAGTCGCCTGGTGAAACTCTCAAGGCATCCACATGGCTCTGTCACGATGTGCCCAAAAACCGTTGTGCGAGACGTTGAACCCATTCCTGCGCCAAATCCAAAGCAGTGATTTCTGCATGGCGTGAGACGTGTACATATATATATATATATATGTACAAGACTGCATTGCCGCTTCGCGCAAAGCACCTTGGTCCTTGAAGTTTTGTATGCAGGCGGAAGTGCAGAAAAGTGAAACATAAACATTAACGATAACTCCTTGTTGCTGGTTTTCCGACATCGTCGCGTCCGTCGTTCATGCTTTCTCCTCCTCTTCCCCCTTCTCGCTTTCAAATTAATTATTTCCCATCCTCATCAGCTCCTTCTGCGGAAACTCCTCCTTGGAGAGCCTCTTGGGGGCCTCTCGAAAATATTTAAAGGTTTCTTGGGGCCTTCTGGGGGCCTCCTGGGTGCTTTCTGGAGGCCTCTGGAGGCGTCCTCGGGCCACCCTGCGTCCTACCGTGGTCTGTCTGAACGACCGGGTCACGATTTGGAATGTTTCGGGGGCGTCTTGGGCCATCTTGGGCCGTCATGGGGAT